TAGGAGTATAGGGTAGAACGCTTTTAAATTTCGATAAAGAGATATAAACAGCTGTAAAGGCGGGCTATGATCAGGTAATCCATAATAGCGAACATGTTTTTTCGCTATAATAAGGTGACTATGACTGTTCTGATAATATAACAACCATAAAGAAAAATACAAACAAAAGTAATAAATAAGAGATATTGTACGGTTTAGGTTTGAGTTTGAGATTTTATATAGAGATAAAGGAAGAATATTATGGGAGGATGTATAATAAAATTAGAGCTATTTGTATACGGTCCGGATCGGTCCAATCCGGAACCGTGGGGTTCAATCCGGAACCAATCCGTGAACTACGAATTTTTAATTCTTCAACCCGGAACCGAACCGCGGATTCAAAAAACCAATGCCAAACTTATCGGATTGGACTGGACTGGATCGGATTACGGATTTCACGGATTCCTTGCTCAGCCCTAATGGGGATATGGATAGATAGTGTGTTTTTTATACTAGATATCCTGACATTTTAAACATCCACATTCGAAGCTTCCACAAGAGATTTGTAGCTATGCAAGTCTTTGTGCCTCTTTATTCCCTTCTTTCTCATATCCTGCCATAGAAGTCTTTGTGCCTCTGTATTCCGTATTATAGTATCAAATTATTCAATTTGAGAGTTTTCAATATAGTTACCTTTCATCAGGATTGGTGCGAGTTACTATTTTTATGCTAATCTAAACTTCTAAGTTTGCTACAATATATTTGTCTAAATCTGATGCTTTAGGCTATAATCAGTTGAGGAATCACATAATTAGAATGTTTATTATGTGTTGTGTTTGTTATTGCAGCTGGTCCCAACTCTTGCAAAATTTGCTCTTCCAAATGTAAGGACACGTATCCCTTGAAATATTTTTGAACTTTATGCTTAGCCTCGTGACCATGCATGTGTATATGGTTCTTTGATTTTTGCAAAACTTAGTTGGTACTTATCATTTTTTTATGCTGAAATTCTATGATGTAGATCAAGTGGATATGCCCAACTGCTCCTACTTGCCCAGTGGCTATACTTGGTGGATTCCCTCGCACTGCATGTAAGATTAAAGCTTAGATTTCTTCCAATGCTGAGATACTGATACAATTATCTAAAGTGCTTTTGTGGTTTCGTATTAGGGTTTGACGTTAGAGAACTTTCAGAAGATAGTCCTGATGATTTCGAAGGTTTAGATGCTTCAGCAGCGCATATTGCAAACTTGTTGTCAACAGAGCCTGCTGATAGTAAGTTTCTGCCTTGCTACTTCATTGATTATAGGCCATTAAATTACTTAATTTCCATGTGTTTAGTAGCTCATTTATCTATCATAAAATTGATCCGTGGCCTAGGGCGGGCCCGACCCGACCCGTTGACAATGTGAATATTCACATTGACATGTTAACATTCACATTGATAAGAGTATAAAATTGGCCTACAGCCCGTGAGCGGCCCGAAGCCCGACCGTAGCCCGAGGCGGGCTTGGCCCGACTCGTGACATTGTGAATATTCACATTGACATGTTAACATTAACATTGATAGGAGTGTAAAATTTACCCGCTGGCCAAAGCTTGCCCGCGGCCCGGGGTAAGCCCGGCCTGGCCCGCTGACAATGTGAATATTCACATTGACATGTTAACATGCACATTGATAGGAATGTAGAATTGGTCCGCGGCCCGTGGGCTGCCCGAAGCTTGCCCACGGCTCGGGGCAGGCTCGTTTGGGTCCGGGCCCAAGCCGGTGGGTCGAGCCTCGGGTCGGGCCGATGGGCCTAGGCCTAGCCTCAGGCTTGGGTCAAGTTTGGGCGGGCCTAGCCATTTTTTTAAAATTCTTTTTAATTTTTTCTACCAAAATTTTATTATTTTCCACAAAAAAAGACATTAGGCCTCAGCGCGGGCCGAGCCTCGGACCGAGCCTTGAATGGGCCTTAACTGGGCCGATGAGCCGGGTCAGGCTTCAAAGTGATGGCCCAGGCCCTAGCCTAGGGTCTCGGACTAGGCTTGAGCCCGGGCCCAAACGAGCCTTTCCCGGGCCGCGGGCAGGTTTCGGGCAGCCTACGTTCTTTTTGACTATTCCATTAAGTCTTATTTGAGGTAAGAAGACCAAAATACCATTTTCATCTACTTATATTCTATTTAGTCCACATTATTTTCTTATGCTTGGGAGACATAATTACCAAAATACCCATAATGTGAATGTTTACATCGTCAATGTGAATGTTCATATCATCAATGCGTAGAGGCCCGGGCCGGCCCATATCGAGCCTCGTAGGTGTCTGAAAAAACTCGGGCCGGCCCGGCCCACAGGCCAAAAAATTAGGCCCAGGCCCTAGCTCTGATACAAGGGTATTCGGGCTTTGGACGGGCTGATGGATCGAGCCTTGGGTCGGACCGGTGGGCTTGGGCCTAGTCTCGAGCTTAGGTCAGGCTTAGGCGGGCCTGGCCATTTTTTTTTTAATTCTTTTTAATTTTTTCTACTAAAATTTTATTATTTTCCACAAAAAAAGACATTGCGCCTTGGGCGTGCTGGGCCTCGGACCGAGCCTCAAATGGGCCTTAAGCGGGCTGATGGGCCGGGCCGGGCTTCAAAGTGATGGCCTAGGCCCTAACCTAGGGTCTCAGACATGCTCGGGCCCGGACCCAAACGAGCCTGCCCCGAGCCGTGAGCGGGCTTCGAACAGCCCACGGGCCGCAGGCCAATTCTATATTCCTATCAATGTGCATGTTAACATGTTAATGTGAATATTCACATTGTCAACGGGCCGGGCCGGGCCTACCCCGGGCCACGGAAAAGCTTCGAGCAGCGGGCAAATTTTACACTCCTATCAATGTTAATGTTAACATGTTAATGTGAATATTCACATTGTCACGGGTCAGGCTTCGGGCAGCCCATGGGGTGCGGGCCAATTTTATACTCTTATCAATGTGAATGTTAACATATCAATGTGAATATTCACATTGTCAACAGGCCGGGCCGGGCCCGTCCCGGGCCGCCTACGGGCCGTAGGCGGGTTTCGGATAGCCACGAGGCGCGGGCTAATTTTAAACTCCTATCAATGTGAATGTTAACATGTCAATGTAAATATTCACATTGGCCCGGCCCGCCCGGGGCTGCAAGCGGGCTTTTGGTTGCCAATAGACCGCGGGCCAATTTTATACTCTTATTAATATGAATGTTAACATGTCAATGTGAATATTCACATTGTCAACGGGCCGCCCATGGGCCGTAGGCGGGTTTCGCACCGCCATGGGACGCAGGCCAATTTTACACACCTATTAATATGAATGTTAACATGTCAATGTGAATATTCACATTATCAACGAGACGGGCCAATTTTATACTCTTATCAATGTGAATGTTAACATGTCAATGTGAATATTCACATTGTCAATAGGCCAGGCCGGGCCCACCCCGTGTCGCTCACGGGCCGTGGCGCGGGTTTCGGGTAGTCACGAGGTGCGGGCTAATTTTAAACTCCTATCAATGTGAATGTAAACATGTCAATGTGAATATTCACATTGTCAACGGGCCGGGCCGGGCCAGGCCCGCCCGGGCCCGCCGACGGGCTTTTGGCTGCCCATGGGTCACGAGTCAATTTTATACTCTTATCAATATGAATGTTAACATGTCAATGTGAATATTCACATTGTCAACGGGCCGCCCATGGGTCGTGGGCGGGTTTCGCACCGCCATAAGACGCGGGCCAATTTTACACTCCTATTAATGTGAATGTTAACATCTCAATGCGAATATTCACATTGTCAACGGGCCGGGCGGGCATGGCCCGACTCGCACTTCTTCGAGCACCCACGAGGATCGACGTGGGCCGGGCCCCTACACATTGACGATATGAACATTCACATTGACGGTGTGAACATTCACATTAGAGGTATTTTGGTAATTATGTTATCCATAAGACTTATTGAAACATAAGAAAATAAAGTGAACTAAATGGAACATAAGCAGATGAAAAGAGTATTTTGGTCTTCTTATCTCAAATAGGACCTAATGGAATAGTAAAAAAGAATATGAGTTGGATGGAATAAAGATCTTAGAAAGTGGATTTATAAAAAAAGTTCCCATTTTTTTTTCAACCTTCATTTGATGTTAATTGAACTTCTCTCTACCTCTTTTTTCTAAGATTCATCTATTTTTTCTTTCTATATTCTTATAGTTTATCTTCAAATTCAAACTTGATTTTTTTTTATATTATATATATACATAGTGAGATAAATCAAATATAACCATCTAAATTAACATTATAGTAATTAATAGTTAGTTTTTAGCATTGTCCGCCAATTTTTATTATTTGCCCATGCATAGCACGGATTACCACTAGTATAATTGTAATGAATTGGTTAAAATCAAGGATTATTTACCAATAAATCCTACCTCACAAACAACTATACCAATCAATCCCCAATTTAAACTGTTGAACCAATAAGTCCTATTACTAGATAGATATGTTCCATTTGATCATTTTTTCCATTTTTTGTATTCATTTGTGACGATTGTGCCCTCAATTTGTTCAGTGGGACAAACATTATGATGGATTGGTAGTAAAGAGAAGCAATCGCGCTATAGTATTTACATTCAAAATCTAGAACTCTAAAAATTGTACTAATTTCAAGAATTTCATCAATTAGTAACAAGTCTTAACCTTCAATAAATATCATTGATGTTTTGATTCTCCCTATCCATAATCAACCCCACCTTTTGATAAACTTCTTCCTTTTCCCATTCGCCTTGTAAAACAACTTTGAATTATTGTCACACTCTTTAAGCCATTTCATTTTTGCCTTCCCAAGAAGGTTATTTCCTAAACACAACTTTCCCCAATTTAATCTTTAGGTTCAACCTTTCTTTTCTAATACACCCATCCAAGTCTCCTTCAACCTCAATACTATCCAACTCGTCAATCCTTTTTGCAATTCCATTATTCAATTCCTTCATATCCCTTAAAATCTCCTTGTTTGGAACTTTTAACTTATCCTTCATGAACTTGAGTTTTTCATGAATTTAATTCCCAACCTGGAACGCTGCAACTACCCCACAGCTCCTCAGAATTTCTTAAAAGACTAGTGTTCAAGCCAGATGTTTTTAAATCTTAAGGAGGTAGGACTAGGACCTCACTTAAAAGGACAACTCTCTAGCACCCACAAAACAATGGTAAAAAACTGCCATAGGAAGCACCTCCTCTCTTACATTCAAAAATCTTTCTTCCCAATCCTTATAACATATATTTAAAAAAAAAAAAAAAAAAAAAAAAAAAAAAAAAAAAAAAAACAA